CCACCCTGTAGAGCCATGTGATAAGGGATGAGTCATTGAAAGTCTTTTGAAAAGGAAACTCTGCCTACTGGCTAAATAAAAGCATTCATATGAAATATTTCCAATTTACTTGGTTGGTGGCCTGACTTTTCTCTACTGTTAAGCAATACAGCTAACTCCCTGCTCCACCCTTGCAACTGGACAGTAAATGAGAAGGAAAAGTGATGATCGCATGCTCCCTTGTGAGAATAAAGCACACGTGACTGGCTCCTAGTGCTGGTCTTTTCTTTTGCAGTCTAATTTTTACATCATAAGTACTCAAGGATCTTAAAAACAATATATCACTAGAATAAAAAGACAGCTTGTTAAACCTCTGGAGGATCCTGTGTACATAAGCACCGGTCCTCATCTAAATCTGTGCAGGGGTTTATGAACTTTGGTGTTAGATAGCTACCCTTGTTCACCTGCCTAGCTGTCTGACAACAGTGATCAATGGAGACAGGCTTGTGAATGACAATTCATTAAGAGAGTGGGTGTGACAGGCAGTACACAAAAGTCTGTACAGACCCTGCCCCCCCCCCCCCCCCCCCAAACCGCCAGAAAGAATATCGCTCTGGTGTGCAAGCTGTCTCTTAAACTCTCTCTCCTCTTTAGTTTGCATTAAACGTTTACACTAACAGCACACACCGACTAGTACGCTAACCCGATACAGCTTAGTGTAGTACCTGGCATGTGCTGCTGTCAGCTTGTGTTTTTGTAAATTAAAGCATCTGTCTTGAGCTGCAATCGCTCACAACACAAACTGACATTTTCAACTCTTTCTATTCCCCTGAAAAAAAAGGCTGCAGCCCTGGACTGTGTAGACTAACGAGGAGGGACGAGGAGACACAGCACTACAGAATGGAGAGGGAGTAGAGTTCAGTGCTGGCTGTAACTGCCGCCATGGGAACACCCATATTTTAAGGCTGGGGGATGGAGCTACAGTCAACAATGACAAAATATAAAGATTTATTTTATTTAACATTCGCTGCTCAAATTTTTAACAGGGAAAAGAGCTATGTAACAGGATCCCTTTGGGGATTAATAAACTTTTTTTCCTTCCTTAAAGTGGTTGTAAACCCTTACATATACCCAGTGAAGTGAGTAGCCTTAAATGATACACAAAGAAAAAAAAACCAAATCCACCTCCATAAGGTGTACCTGTTTATCTGTAGCCCTCATCTCTACAGCCAGTCAAAGTGCAGAATTCATACAGCTTGTCTAAGTTTTCAGAAAGTAGGGGCAGGGAGGTGAAATTATACTGTACGGAGCTTAAAAGGAATAGAACTGAGACTTTCAATAACAGGCTGTGTGCTGGAACACCTTCCCCTGTCTCCTTTCTATGCCTTGGTGTCAGGAAAACTTGTCAGAAGTGACTCATACAGATAACAAGAGAAACAAGACAGCAGACAAATGACATAACTGGGATACTTCTGTCCCTTGAGGATACAGTTATTAATAGGATCTTTATTTTGAGACCCCAAGATTTGGTTTACCATAGGTTTTTTTCACAACTGTGAGGCTTGAAAATGGCACCACTAAAAAAAAAAAAAAAAAAATGCAAAATGTGTTTATTATACTAAACCTACCTTCAAGCTGTTTTGCAACATAAGGCAGTTCACATTTAGCAAGACTGGCAGAAAGTGACTCATAAGGCTTCTTGTCATATAAAGGAGCCAGGGTGTTGAAATCTGCTACCCAGCTGTTAATTGGTTGCTCTGTTCTATCAACCAAAACTCCCAATGATGGGTCTGATTTTGGACCACTGAGAACTTTCATCACTTCAGTCACTCCAGTTGACAAAATTCGGTAATAAAAGAGACCTCGATCTCGGACAGCCATGTTAGTTTCCTCCTCTGCAAATTACATATATTAAATAAATGTCTCTTGAATTTTATTATAACTGAACACAGTGACAAAAATACAGTTTACAGTCATATAAAGAGCATATACATATCAAGAAACATACTAAACAGATTTCCTTCTGTAAATCCTCTTTTTTTTTTTTTTTTTTTTTAGAAAATTTTAGCAAGTGTCCATTCCATGAACAAGGTGGATTTTAGAAGTTTATTAAAAAATGCTAGTGGCATGATGGTTAGTGGTATGGCATGTATTACCTACAGTTGAGAGTGAAAAGGTATGGTAAATAATGTTTTTGAAAGCTGAACTCAAGGAAAAAATTACGCTCCAGCTTAGTTACCTGCAATTCTCGCTATATTAAACCAGAGGGTTGTTGAGAATGCTAAAAATTTTCATTGTATTATGCCACATTCTACTGTTGGCTTTGATCATCCAGATCAGCTGGTACAGGAATCATAGCATCCTCTTCAAGTCCTCCATTCAGAAATGTCTTGTATTATTTTCACTGAATACAAGGCTTTTTCTGAATGTACAAGGTGAGATCCTATCACTCACTTGTCCCTCCCCTTGTCTATTCAGAAAAAAAACGTATTCTGTGAAAAGAATACAAGACATTTTATGAATGGAGGAGTTAATGAGTGAGAAATCACTTATGACTCAGTAGTGGAACTCAACAGTTGAGCGGGAAGATACAGTGGAATGTGACATAATACAAGACTTCAACATAATAGCGTTCATCTGCACACAGACATCTGTTGTATGAGTGTGAATGGATTGGGTAAAAGATGGCTTCCACTCCTGTTCTCCACCTGGAGGGAACTCCTCAAATGCTTTTCCACTTTGTGGATCTTAACCATTAGCCGCCCGGCCAATGGCCATTTGGCGGCTTCAAAAGTGTTGCTGCATTCCGGGTGCACGCCATTTGGCGTGCTCCCGCACATGCGCAGTTTGCGCTAATGCAGAGCGGCGCAGCAGCGCGATCTGTCACCGGCCGTGTACCTCGGACACGGCCGATGACAGATCCGAGTACCGGCTCCCGTTGCTGGTACCATGTGACCTGCTTTGACCAATCACAGCAGGTCACATGACAGTTGTAAACAATGGATGGCTTCATTCATGCCATCCATTGTATACTAGTGCGTAGCTGTGAATGGCCACAGCTAATCACATGCACATGTCATGTGATTAGCTGTGACCAAATCACAGCTAAGCACAAAAAAAAAAAAGAAAAAAAAAAGCTGAATGAATCGATTTCATTCAGGTAAATGCTTGCTTATAGCAAAGTAATTCTTTGCTATAAGCAAATTGTGTAAAAAAAAAAAAAAAATACTGATCACTTCCCCAAAGTCATAGTAAAATATGAAAAAAAAAAATCTTAAAAAAATTTAAAAAAAATGTAATAAAAAATTAAAAATAATAAAAAAAGAAAAAAAAAATATATATATTTTTTTTCATACTGTCACCAGTCAGTGTCCCTGTTCACCGCCATGCCAGTTATATGATGACGCTGTACTGCACTGGTGACAGTATGTAAAAAAAAAAAAAAAATAGTGAAAATAAATTTTTTTAATTTTTAAATTTTCCGAAAAATGATGACAAAAAAAATACAACTTCAAAAAACTCGCCATGCCTCTTATGAAGTACGTCGGACTGTCTACTCTGCAAAAAGGGGTCATTTGGGGATATCTGTACTATTCTGACATTCTTGGACCTCAAGATATTAGATTGGCTGTCAGTACTTCAGGATTGATCAATTTTCAGATCTATACCATAGTTTGTGAACTCTTTAACTTTCCTACAAACTAAAAAATACATCCTAATTTGGGTTATTTTCACCAAAGACATGTAGCAGAATACATCTCGGCCTAAATATATGAAGAACAATTATTTATTTGAAAACTTTTATAACAGAAACAAAGAAAATGTGTTTTTTTTTTCAAAATTTTTGGTCTTTTTTTGTTAATTTAGCAAAAAATAAAAACCCCAGCGGTGATTAAATACCACCAAAAGAAAGCTCTAGTTGTGTGAAGAAAATGATAAAATTTTAGTTTGGGTACAGTGTTGTATGACCACACAATTGTCATTCAAAGTGTGAGAGCACTGAAACCTGAAAAATGGCCTGGGCAGGAAGGTGTAAAATTGCACGGTATTGAAACGGTTAATCTAAGATTAAGCCCTGAAAATGGTGAAATATGTCTGAGGAGGTCTCTATAGGTAGAGAACAGGAGATGATGTCTGTGTGCATACAACCACCCTTTTGTTGAATTCTACAGGAGCCTGACAAGCCTATATTGTCTGTCTTGCACCAGTCTATCCACATGCCAATCCAACTGATTCAGGTTTAAGGCATTTGAGTGGTATTATTTTCATTGATTTGGGTTACATATATGATGCACTTTTAGCATCCCCAGCAATCTTACAAACATAGTATACCAAGGATTAAAGATAGCTAACCTGGACCCAGCAGACAGCATAAAATGTTTTTTCCATGGAGTTCAACTTTAAAGTATATAACATGCAGAGCAGTGTAGGAAGAGTGGCAATCCAAGCGCTAGTTCCAGTCAACTTAGTGGATTGTTTAAAAATGGTTGGACATATTTCTATATGTACAAAATATAACTGACTTTTAAAACTGGACCCTGGGGAAAAAACACCTACTGCTGTAAGATTACAGACACAGTGAGGAGGAGCAGTAAAAGTGAGGGTGGAGCAGTGAAGTGATTTTTTTTTTTTTTTATTTTCTAGGACCTTTGATATTCATAAGAAATAACACTAAAGAACTTTGATCCAGGGAGTATCTAATTGTCCTAAACTAATATCTAATAGAGATCGATCAGGAAGGTTTTTTTTTCTTTTCGAACAAAGTAGATCATGCTTTATAAGGGTTTCTTTGCCTTTGTGATGGAACTCAGGAGGAGAGAGGGGAAAAGAGCTCCAGCAGAAGACCCAAGAAGACAAGGATTGGGGCTGCTTGAAGCAAAACCATTGCACAAAGCAGGTAAGTATTAACATGTTTGTTATTTAAAAAAAAAAAAAAAAAAAAAAAAAAAAAGAAGATGAGCCTTTGATATCATTTTAAGGTAGAACATTCCTCACCACCTATCCTTTTCACCCCTAAACACTTAGACTCCTCTCACTGCTCCAGCACTGTCCCAACTGCAGCACCGCTCCTCTCGCTTCCTGGTCTCACAGAAGACACTGAGAGCAGCGAGACTCATAGGCTCCTGCTGTTGTCACTCAAACTCCTGTGAGTGGGGGCATGGCACACTGGCGCTGTGTGTATCTATGGAGGAGTAGCAGACAACGCACTCGAGGGACTGCCAAAGAGGAGATGAGGGACCACTCTGTGCAATATCTTGCACAGAACAGCAAGTATGGAGTTTTCATTAAAAAACAAAAAAAAACCCACAACATTTAAGAAGGTTAAGCAGCAAATTTTAAAAATATTTTTTAGGGTATGCTAACAAATAATGGGAACATGTAATATAGTATGTATTATCCCTATTTCCAAAAGTGTAAATACACTTACAAGGATAAGTTCACCTTTGGGAACATGTTCCCCCAGTTTTTAGAGGGAAACATGTTCCCCAGTTTTTAGGGGGGGGAACATGTAGCCTTCCCATAACCGCAGACGCTGCCCTCCTCCCTCTGACAGATAGCGCAGGGAGAAGATTCCCCGTACTGTCAATTTGAAAACAGCGCGGTCATGCGGTGCTCCGGCTGCGTCATTCATTCACTGACTTCTGTGAATGAATGAACTGCAAGTTCCGACTGCCTTGCTGGCTGTGGGCTTGTAGTTTTCAATGAACTACTACGGCGCTGTGGAATGCCATGGTAGATCATTGAAGCTTCCTGTCAGGATATCTGCTTGACCATACATCCCGTACGGCAAGCAGATATTCGGACAGATCTGCAGGAGACCTGCATGGAATCGCTGATCTGCTGATCGCTGGTGCAATGCTTTCCAGGCTCCTGTAAACAAAAATAATAAATGCATATTTTTTTACCTGCATAAAAAAATAGCATTTATTATTTTTGTCTAAAAGATGAACTTATCCTTTAAGTATAGTTCATATTTTTGTAATTCAATCCCTACAAGTTAGATTAAGCTAGTAGCCAGTGACTATACACGTCTCCCAGATTTACCACCATAACTGAATCATGTAATTGGTGATATATAAATAAGCTGTTCTGGGGTAATGGAAATAGCCAACTATAGATGGTAAAAGCAATATCAATTTCATAAGCAGTTTAACTTTTATTCACAGGATCTGTGTGAAGGCTTTCAACAAAAGGAAGGACACATTTCACAACAGTTTAGTCTACCACTACTCTTTACATTAAAACCCACTTCTTTGTTTCCAGTTTAAATTTTGCATGAGCTGTCTGATACCCCAACAATTTTACTAATGTTCTTGACGATGATGGGGTAACATTCCTAAATATCCCCCAAACCCTAATCTTACTTTGAAAGTATTTTAATGTCAGTAGCTCACCAAAAAAAGTACTCCTATCAATATCTGGAGAATGCACTCCAAAAGAACACAGAGAAATTTAAATTGTTGCAGTAGGACTACTGGTTAAGGGAGGCCTCCCTGTAGGGGGTCACAAACTGTAATAAAGACCTAACACTGCTTCACTCCAAGCCTAAAAAAAAATGTGGAAATTCACTCCAAATTTATTGGGTTATATATTCTCAGAAGTATATGGGATTCTGCATGTGAGAATTTGAGCACTGAGAAGCAAGAAAGGCTAATGTGCTTGGTAAGATCAGCATTTATCCAACCCAAAAATGAGCCCCTCTTCATAAACATTGCATATATCACAGTCCAGATAAAAAAAAATAAAAATTTTTAACCAAAACTGTATTTAAATCAGAGGCAATTTTAGGAATGACTGGGACTTTTTACAAACAAAAAGGGGCTTTATGGTGACTTAAATGTTTAATATTTTTTATTGCACTTTTTATCTCCTCCGCCTGTCTGTCTGTCTCCAGCACCACACCTGGTGACTAGCAGGGAGGGGAAAGACCTTGCAGTGTAATGAGCACCAATTGGCTGCTCCTCAGGAAAGGGGGCTTACCCTTTATCGCTTTCGCTGCCAGTGCCGTTTTTGCCCATTTTAGGCAAAACTCCCAAACATTATATATTTTCTGAAAGCAGAGAGCCTAATGAATAAAATAGTGTTGGTTCCAATGTTTTATGTTGCATATTATTACCGCAAAATTTCAGTAAAAAATACAAGGAAGTTAATTTTAGGGCACAAAAAAAGCAATCAATTACCCTATTTTTTTGTAATATATAAAAAAGATGAGGTTGCGCCGGGTAAATGGATATTGAACTTGTCAAACCTTAAATTTGTGCATGCTCGTAAAATGGCGATGAACTTCAGTATATTTTTTATAGGTCGAAACATTTAAAGCTCCTTATAGGTCATCAGTTTCGCGTTACGGAGGAGGTCTGGTGCTAGCGCTATTGCTCTCATTATGGCGTGCGCAGCGATGTATGACATGAGTGTCGAAATCGATGGTTTCATACGTTAGCGCGCCAGCGTGATCTTTTACGTACGTATATGTGTGTGTGTGTGTGGGGGGGGGGGGTTTTCTTTCATTTTTTAGGGAGGGGGGGGGTGGTATGTGCTTGGGTGTAGCTAATTTTTTACAATAAAAAAAAAAAAAAAAAAAATTTGGTGACATGTTCTCTTTATTGAGGCATCCAGGGTCTAACAGACCCTGCATGTCTCCCCTCTGCTCCACTGAATATAATGCAGTGCACATCGCACCGCATTACATTCTTTCCCGGCTTTCATGGCTAGGAATCTCTCAACGGGGACCTGGAAATTACATCATAACGTCATTTCTGGGTCAGGACAAGAAGGGGAGGGAAGCAAACGTTTCCACTCTCTTCCCTCCCATCTAGCCGACGACGGTAAGCCGGTCCAGCAGATGAGGAAGCGGAGCCCGGGAGACCTCACGGGGGGAGAGGCTGGCACTGTGCGGAAGCAATGGGGCGACAGCGCTGCCGCCTGAATGTTCCACCTGACAGGTGAGTCTGCTGCTTGCCCGCAGCAGGGCTAAAGGCAGAAAAAAAAACTACCTGCCCAGCGCCTAGAACTACATGTCCCAGGTGTCAGGCGATAGGAATCGAACATCCCTGTATCAGGATGGCCTAATACAGTATGTGACTGCTGGATGGAAAAATACAAAATTCAAAGAACTCAATATTCATCAAATTTGGGAACAAGCCTGATCACCTTGAACACAGCCAGAGCATATACCTTATCATTCAAATACAAATGAGAAATATACTACATATCACTACATAACCATAAAGCTACTCACTCTAAGGAAATCTTAAGTTGCCCATAGATGAATCAAAATATGACCGGTTCAGCAGGCACTGTATCAATCCATGTATGGGCAGTGTGGTTGTACAGAAGTCGATCTACCGATCAACTTCTGTTTAACCGCCCTGCTGGAAAATTTCTATATAGCCTGTTATAGTCTGCAGACTGATCTGTGTATTCTGGTGGCAGAGACGTTTCCCCACTTCACCCTGAATGTGTGGTTGGGGAGATAGGGTGAGTTTCTGAAATGAAAAAAAAAAGGATACATCTACAGCCAGATTAACTGAGGTGCTTTATCATTTTCCCATCCCTTTATAACAGATCTTTGCAGTAGAAGTAGCTCAGATAGTTTAGTACTGAACCAAATTCAAAGCCCTTATGGCCTGTCCAACTATTTTTTTTTTTTTTTAGTTTTAATGAAAGAACTAGGTGACCTGCTAATGTCTCCATACAACCATACCATATTTACACAAAAATATCCACTTAAGGCAACAAGCAGAAGTACAATAGTCATAGATGGGGCAGTTCTGGTGAGAGTACATTATTTCTGTAAATGTTTGGTTAACTCAAGCCATACTTTGGAAACCACCACACAACTCCCAGATGATGAGACATGCAACAAAATCAAAAGCCCTGTTAGCAGTCTGCTATGGGATTTCAAATAATAGCACTTACCTATACAATAAAAAATAAGACGGCCCAAAATGTCCTGGCACTCAGCTGGTCGACAGAGAAACAACCGAAGCAGAGATGTCAGGAGCTCCATTTTTACAGTTGGCGAGGTCTCTGTCTTAATATTATCAACGTATTCCTCCAACACATACGGTGCATTGGTTATGAACTCTCCATGCATTCCCAGAAGCCATATTAAGGCTTGCTTGCCCTGTGGATAAAATATACATACTGTAAGATTAAAATCACAAGCCAATAAAGATATGCTAAACATGGAAAGCTACAGGTTGTGTGGAACATCTATAAATGTGTGCATGTTGTTTGTACTAAATGTAGTGCATTATAGTTGACTATTGACTTAAGGTAAAAGCTAATGAACAAGTCACATCTCTACATAAGGTGGAAATTCTGTGATTCCACAGGTTCCCCAAGGCAAGACTCCATGATAGAGTGGGAAGTTTGGCCATCCTGTAGCTAGGTGAGAATGGTGCTGCAAGAGCTTTTAATTGCAGGGGTCCTTGGGGGCACATCCAGAACACACAAAAGGACCTGTATTCACAGATGGCTTGGGTACACCTTGGTATACCAGAGATGTACCCAGTATGACTGGGCTCTGAAACCATAATAGGTATTTAAACATATACAACCATGTTTCTATATCTATATTTTTTTTTTTTAAAGCAACCTATTAAAGATTTTTTTTAAGTGTTACTAAACCCACAACAGTAAAATCAGCCTGTATATGCAGTAAAGCATGCTTGTTATACTCACTGTGGAACCTAAGGGGTTAATTCTTTGCATTGTGTAAAAAGGCCCTTTGATCCTGTTTTCTCTGCCCCTCCTCTAGTTCAAATGTCTACCTGATAAGACAGACTGAACCTGTAGCCACATGCACATGCTCAGATTAGTGTTTTTATGCTATAGGAGGTTTTTTTTTTTTTTTTCTTGGGAGCGTGATCAGCACAGTGCCAATCAGCACTGTCCAGACAGAGGTCAGGGGTTTTGCATCCTCCTAGAGTAGAAAGAAAACTCCAACAACCGTTAACTAGTGCTCTGCGGAAGTCACAAGACTGCTCAAACTGCTGATGAGAAATGATCTTTAGCAGTTTATATTTACTAAAATAATTGCACTTCCATGTTATGTGTACTGTGGGAGACCAGATATAGTGAATGCAGGCTCCTGGGTTTAGTAACACTTAAATTAAAGCAGAAATTGCAAAACAGCATGTTACAAATTACCTCGTTGTCCTGAATGTTTCCTTCACAGCCAGGAAGGGCTTGGCACACTGAATTTACACACTGAGGACACAGCCACACAAGGTCCCGAAAGGTCTGCATGACAGCTGGGAAGTAGCAAAAAAAAAAAAAAAAAAAAGCTCACATATAAGAATACAGCACAAACCTCAACACGACAATATAAATACCTATGACAAGTCAGTTGATTAATGCTCTGGTTAAAAATGCTTCTATATCTGAAGTTAGGCTCCCAAAAACACAAGTAGTCAGCAGCTGTTTACTGGAAGCAAATAATTTTTCATGATTAGGAAGGGTTTTACTAGTTTATAATAGCATATACAAGTATTAGCATTTTGTTAGTGAGCCTTTTTGGTTTCTCTTTTAATTAACAAAATACAGAATATTATTTTGCTAGATAAGGCATCTTAAAAGAAATTTGACAGGTAATAGTATGGGGTTGCCACTGCTTTTTTTCTTAAAATGATGGTTGTCTGTCATACTGACCCAATTTTTCTTCAACATTCATTGTGCAAATGACCTAAAACTGGTATGCAGATAAGAACTCTTTTCCTACTTCCTCATCCACATGTTTGTTCCAGGACAGTGCACCAGGAAGCACTGAAGCTAGATTAGGGCATAACAGTCAAGTGAACAGAATCTATAGAAGGTCAACAGCAGCTTCCATATGTCTCTCATCAAAGTTTATCCAACTGAAAAATGAGCCCCTCTCCATAAACATAAAGTTGCACATACCAAAGAAAGAATTGCCATTTAAAAAGGTAAACAAAAAATGCTGCGGGGGAGAGAAGAGAGCTTTCGGCAACGCCTGGGACCAGTGACTAATTGCTTACTATGGCCTACCCGTTGTTAGTTCTCCCTCCTCTCCAATGCAGCTGTCATTTGGGGGAAACGGAGGCAGGATCATGTGACCGAACTGGAGCGGCCTGAAATTAGGTAAATATTTAGATCTTTCTTACACATGTTGGTCAGCAGGGGTGTTAGGAGGGGGGAGGGAGCATTTTTTAGTTCAATTAGTTAGGAATCCAGGAATTCTACTTAAAGCTAGATTCACATCTGTGCAGGTTGCGGTTGATGTGTTTTTCAGGTGTATTTTTGATGCACTGTGCACTTTTTTGTTTTGTTTTGGCTAATAGGAAAGTATGATAGTTCTGTTCATGTAGTGCAACTTTGATGTGAATTTGCACTCTCTGGTATTCAAGTAGCATCAAAGTTACACTTCATAAACAGAACTGTCATACTATCTAATTAGCCAAAAAAAAAAAAAAAAAAGCAAAAAAGCAAAAGCAAAAAAAACAAACAAAAAAAACCCCCACAATATATACCCCAATTGTTTTGTAAAATATGAAAGAGGATGTTACGGCAAGTAAATAGATACCCAACATGTCACGCATTAAAATTGTCCACGCTCGTGGAATGGCGTCAAACTACAGTAATTAAAAATCTCCATGGGTGATGCTTTAAAAATTTCTACAGGTTAGCAGTGTAAAGTTACAGAGGAGGTCTAGTGTGAGAATTATTGCTCTTACTCTGATGTTCATGGCGATACCTCACATGCGTGGTTTGAACACCGATTCCATATATGGGCATGGCCTGCGTATGCGTTCACCACTACATGCGAGCACGGGGGGACAAGGGCACTTTAAACAATTTTTTTTTACATTTGTCTTTTTTTTTTTTTTCCACTGTCCCTTTAAAAAAAATTTGTAATCACTTTTATTCCTATCACAAGAAATGCATGCATAAAATAATTAGTGACAGCTCTTCTTTATGGAGAGATATGGGGTCAGTAAGACCCCACATCTCTTCTCTACAATGTTAAGCATTAGATCAAAAAAGCATTCATCTAGTGCTTTAAAAGAAAAAAAAGGCATTGTTTACAAGGCACGGAAACCAGAAGTAACATCGCTCCGGTCTTCCAAGGGTATAGAGATGAGTGGAGGCCATATTTCCTCCACTCATCTCTATGCCCAAAGCCGTGATCGTTCTGTGGTTTCTCAGGTAAAGCTGAGAACTACCGAGTGGCAACGGCGGGCCGCGAGGGGGGCGGGTTTTTTTCTCGGCACCTGTATTGGCGCTTTTTTTTCATAATCGGCCGACGGGTATTTTCGGCTGAAACGTTTCAGGCACAGAAATTTTGTTGCTCCTCTAAATATTACTATTATAGTTATGAAAATACCTGATGTAATGTGCTCTTGTTTGAACTCCAGCAAGCCTGCCAAGATTTTCACACACCTCTCACTGTATGTTCTTGCAATGCGACCTACAAATAAGTATACAAAAATGTAACATCATAAATGTTTCACTTTTTCCTCTATATAACTATTTATAGGATTACATACACATTGGGGTTAAGTTACTAAAAACACCTTGTCTGCAAATGGTCGCAGTTCCTTGCATGACTGTCTATTTTTAGAGGAAGACGGTATTTACTATAGCACACAAATAGACACAATTAAGATTTACTAATGGTCAAAAAAAACTTAGTGACCATCTAAATGAGTTCACCTCTTAAAACCAGGTGAACAGCAGAGAAAAATCTTTTTAATCACATTATCTCAAGAAAGTTATACATTCTATACATATGTTGAACATTTTAAAGAATAACTGCTTTAAATTAATTCTAAAATTGACTGTATAAAGTGATAGATATCAAAAAAACCAAACAGGCACTGACTTCACCTAGTTCAAACATTGCCCAGACTAGGAAACCTAAAACGTGCCTTCACCCTGTTGTTTTTTGTGTAGTGCTATAGTAAATGCCTTTGTTGGGAAGCCTGGAAATGTCGTTGAAAAGAGTGAACGTGATTTTGTGAAAGCGTGATTATTAAAACAGGCTAACACACACACACATATATATATATATATATATATATATATATATATATATATATATATATATATATATCTCACACACATACATACACAAACACACATATATATATATATATATTTTGTATTATGCATAGAAACACCAACATAAATAAAGAACTTTTTAATTTCCTTTGTAATTTTATTTAGCTGTGTTTTTTTGTTTCTCACACAATATTTATCTTTTCTAGTTTTTTAAGTAATGCTACTACCATGTTTGATTTGTGTGTTTGCTGTAATTGTTTGTCCCTCAAAAGTGGGTTTTTGCGGGCATGGCTTCAATTGTTTGTGTATTTTTCCAGTCTTATCATGCGTTTATGGTTTGTGAGCATCTGCTGACCCTTGTCACTAACAAATGTCAATTGTTCTACTCTTACAACTCCTAACTTTGATATAGTTTGCTTAATCATGTAGACAGAAATGCAGCTTTCTGCTTACCATAATCAGAAAGGTGTGGGAACTGGTGGAGTTGGTGCTATGTTGTAGTGTTTTGTTTTTTTTTTAAAACCTCTCTCCTGCTGCCCTATAGCAGATATACTGCTACAGGACAACAGGGGTGCGCAAAATCATGTTTTGCATTTCCGGGTAGGGGGCACGTGCGCTGCAATGTGCGGCTGCGCCTGTCATTCACCAGGTCCCAGGCAGTGATTACCAAGCATCTGACGGGGAGGAGGACTGTTTTGTTTACTAACAGTTCTCCTCCCTGTCAGGTCGGGCACAGCACAGCCATCCAGAGCAGTGTGATTACAGTGGAGCACCCTGAAAAGGCCTCCTAGTAACACACTCCCTGAACACAGGTAACCCTTTGATTGCCCCTCATGTTAACCCCTTCCTGCCCTGTGCCATTAGTACAGTGTCAGTGCTTTTTTTGTTTTTTATTTTAGCACTGATCACTGTATTGGTGTCACTGGGGATGTCAGTGACACCAAGTTAGTTCCCCCCCAGTGTCAGAATGTTCGCCACAGTCCTGCTATAAGTCGCTGAACACCGCCATTACTAGTGGAAAAAAAAAATTCCAGTATCTATACTGCTATTTGAAAACGCTATAACTTTCACATGAACCAATTAATTTACACGTATTGAGATTTTTTTTTCAGCAAAGACATGTAGCAGAATACATTTTGGCCTAAACTTATGACGTAATTAGATTTTTTAAATTTTTTTGTATTAGACATGTTTAATAGCAAAAAGTCAAAAATAGTTTTTTTTTCCTCAAAATTGTCAGTCTTTTTTTTTTATAGTGCAAAAAAAAACCCCCCAAAAAACAAACACACAGGCGATCAAATACCACCGAAAGAAAGTTCGATTCGTGGGGAAAAAAAAAAAAATGGCCGTAAATTTAATTTGGTTGCAGAGTTGCATGACCGCGCAATTGTTAGTTAAAATGAAGCAGCAACGTAATGCAAAAAAATGGCCTAGTCAGGAAGGGGGGTAAATCCTCAGGAGGGCAAGTGGTTAATACCCAGTTTTGTTTTTGTGAATCTTGCACCTAATGGGGTGGGCCAGATTTGTTGCACCTTAAAATATGTTGCCTGGCTAATAGTACCCTTATATTGTTCCCTCTTGTACATTGTGAAAGTTAAGTTGTGATCCCTTTTAGATTGTAAGCTCTTATGAGCAGGGCACTTCTAACCCTCTTGTAAAGTGCTGTGCAAAATGTAGCTCCATAAACACCATTCATTCTTTTTACACAAGTAAATGAAAGTACCTAATTGTGTTGCTGCTGTCAAAATAAAAGTAGAATATTGAACCATTTCTGTATTTGTTGGATCAATATACTTTTTTTTCCAGTGGAATGTATTGTTAATATCCATACAAATAACAGTCTACAAAATAAACATTTTATTCTGCACACATGCAAGGTGTAAAAAAAAAAAAAAAAAAAAAAGCAAACCTTTAACAGCTCCAAAGCTGATTTTCAGGGACTATTGAATTCAACTGGTGGATAGGTGTAGTCTTTAACATGTCAACCAGGGCCTTTTTTTTTCTTGTTACATCACCAATTTGTAAATAAAGTCAAATAGTTTTCATAATAAATGTATTGCACGCAAAAGAACATCTATTTGCATGTGTGGAAGCCACGATCAGACACAAATGGTCTCAGGACCAGCTCCTGGCCCGGAATTGTGTCATAACATTTGCTGAAGCATGTTCGCATGCACCCAGAGAAATAAAAACAAAAAAAGGTCAGTTCCTTGGCCAAGAGTAAAACACACAGCAGCTGGAGGCAGGTGACACTTACAAACTCAAAAACACCAAACAGAGCAAATTTACTTCCTGGATCTCTGCCTAGAATTCTAGGCCTGCCTCCTAGAACATGTGACAGGAACTTCCCAGAATGCATTTGTGAGGACCTGGTTACATCACCATTTCCTCTCTGTCGGTTTAGTGAATATAACATGATTTCATAGAAGCTTGCAGAGCTGTATGATGATACTATTTTTATTAAAAGGGGATAAAGGTCTGCTTAAACAAAGTTGCTCAAAGCTTTCTTAAATCTTTGAAAATGCGTTTATATAAGCAGAAGGCCATAAGGACAAGGTCTTCTATTGCTGTCCCTCTTGCTCCAAGCCCCCATTCCAGTCTTACCCTGACTCCTTTATAACGGCTGTGTGCCCTCATTGGCACCTTGCAGTCGATTTCATAATCTTCCAATTCTGCACACTCATTCAATCCTGTAGAGATTTAGTCAAGAGTGTGAGATCCTACTCCAGACCTCAACACAGGAAACAATTAGAATGCAGAGCTGAGGCACAGAAGATTTTGGTACGCAGCTGTAACAGACAAGGCAACACCACCACTATCTCAAAAGATAGGACAAGTGACTGTCCCATAAAGTATTCATTTACTTTTTCGTTCAGCCAGTGCACTGAACAAAAAATGAACAGATTCCTTCTCCTACACAAACAAGGTGGATGGAGGAGTACCCATCCAACTGTCAGAGTACACTGATCAACTTAACTGGCCACAGCCACTGATTAACGAAGGTTTTTCAACGTGTTCATTCGACAGAAGTCAATGTAACAATCAACCTTCCGTCTAAAAGGGAGGGTTACACATAGATCAAAATGTGTCCTGTTCCTGCTAAACCGACTGAATTTCAATCCAGTGCAAATAGAGCATGTTTTTAGATGCATTTAGATTCTATCTGCATTGCTTTTGAAGTACATCTGTCATCCTTCTAAGCTACTTTTGCATTTCCATTGATTTTAATGTGGATTAAGAAATTCTGATGCAAACAAATGCTCATGTATGGAAGCCCTTATATTTCCAAAGCACTTAAATTCTGCAATATTTAATGTTTCTTACAGGAAAAAAAAAACAAACATTCTCAGGAAGATCAGGTAAATTAGAAGTTTTTAGCAAAATAATTCCAGATTTAATCCTACTAAAAAGCCAGTGGCAGGTATCTTATTAAAAAGTCACTGCCAGAGAGAACAGTTCCAGCAGACCAGAATATGCTGTGTTTTAGTGACCACAAAAGGTCCATGTAATGCTGGAACTTGGGTAGGAAAAGGAGAAAAATTTAATCCACCATCATATACATATTACTAAACTCATACTAATGTTTTTTCACTTATAATAATAATACATTATCATTACCGATTGCAAAGATCGCAGTGTGGGCAAGCTGTATTGATACATCTGTACAGCATATTCGGAGTTCTTCAAGTATGTTGTGTACATTTTCATCATTAACCAGTTCACAAAGGATGTCGATCTTCTGGTCCTTAATATAATGAGGGTCATTGTATGAGCAGAAAAATTTTTTGTAATGACTGCTAAAATGCCCTGGCAAACTGCGGAGAATCTCTCGGACATGGCACAAAGCAGCAAAACACATCTCTCTACTTTCAGAGGTACAGGCGGCAAGCAGTGGACTTTTTAGTCGGACAAGAATGTCTGTCTGCACATGAGGAAACTCCTTTACTAAAATCAAGAAAAGTTTGGTTGCTCCCATGACTACACTGATATGTGTGCTCTTCAAATAACTGTCCAGTTTGTTAAGAATATCAAAAATCTCTTCTTCACTGCGTGGTTTGTAGCGAAGGAGAAATGTCAGAACTTCACTCTGTCCCCAATGATCCAAATCAGCCATCCTGAAAAATATCAAAGCAGAGGTTTCAAAAACGATTATTATTTGAACAGAAGACTTAGGTCTTTTAGCAAATGTAACACTGCCACATAACAAGATAATTATCAGAACAGATGAACTTGAAATGAAGATATTAAAATGATAAAAAATAAACTGATCATGTGATGTTCTGTATTTGCAATCTGCATGATTTGAAGCAAAAACAAGCAAATATGCCAAAGCTTACGAAACTTAACTTGTTAAGAAGATGATGAGCTATAGGCTTGTTAATGACAACGCCTCCTTCTGTTTTCAGTATTTCTTCCAAAGCCCGCAGGCAGTTCACCAAAACAATCGGATCTGGATCTCGAAGCAAACTGTACAGCTCGTTCACAATGGCTCCATCTGAAAGATTGTCATGTTAGAACTCTTTTATACATAAATGTATAAAACAGAAATACAAATATAAAAAATTTTTGCATAAATGTCTAACTATAATTTCAAGATGTAAAGAGCATTTTTAAATGGTATCTAGTCCAGTCTTTTATACAAATATATCTATATACAGTTAGGTCCATATATAATTGGACACAGGCACAATTTTAGTTTTTTCAGGTATTTACCAAAACATATTCAAGCTATAGTTATATCATGGTTTGTATTATTATTATTATACAGGATTTATATAGCACCAACAGTTTGCTCATCGCTTTACAATATAACGGGAGACAATACAGCAACAATACAATTCAATACAAGAGGGCCCTGCTCTTTAGAGCTTACAATCTAAGAGGGAGAGGCTAGTGGTACAAAAGGTAATAACTGTGGGGGGATGGACTGGCAGGAAGAATAGAAGATTCCATTATTAGCTGAAGGCAGGATGGGCTTCCTTGAAGAGATAGGTTTTCAGAGATCGCCTAAAAGTGAGTAGAGTCAGCAATAATCTGGGCTGAAAGCGCACACACTTAGATTTAATTTGAGGGTATGTACATTCAAATTGGAGGAAGGGTTTAGAAATTACAGCCCTTATGAGTAGCCATCCCCCATTTTTCAAGGGACCAAAAGTAGTTGGACAATTTAATCAAAAGCTGTTTCATGGCCAGATGTGGGCTACTCCATTATTTCTTCATCAATTAATCAGGTAAAATGCCTGGAGTTGATTCTAAGTGTGGTATTTACATTTGGAATCTATTGATGTGAACCTACATCATGTGTTCAAAAGGAGCTGTCCATGCAAGTGAAACAGGCCATTGTAAGGCTTCAAAACAAAACCAATCCATTAGAGAGATAGCAGCAACATTAGGAGTGGCCAAATCAACAGTTTGGTACATTCTGAGGAAAGAAGAATGCACTGGTGAGCTCAGCAACATAAAAAGACATGGACGTCCACGAAAGACAACAGTGGTGTATGATCACAGGATCCTCTCTATGGTAAAGAGAAAAGCAATTCACAACATCCAGAAAATGAAGGACACTCTCCAGGAGGTTGGCATTTCATTGTCAAAGTCTACAATCAAGACAAAAGCAAATACAGAGGGTTCACCACAAGGTGCAAACCATTCATAAACCTGAAGAATAGAAAAGCCAGATTAAACTGTGCCAAAAAACATCTAAAAAAGCCAGACCAGTTCTGGAAAAGCATTCTTTGAACGGATGAAACTAAGATTAATCTGTACCAGAATGACGGGAAGAAAAAAAAAAGTGTGGAGAAGGTTTGAAACAGCTCATGATCCAAAGCACACACAACGTCATCTGTAAAACATGGTGGAGGCAGTGTGATGGCATGGGCATGCATGGCTTCCAGTGGCACTGGGTCATTGGTGTTTATTGATGAAGTGACAGAAGCAGCCGGATGAATTCTGCAGTGTTTAGAGATATACTGTGAGCCCAAATTCAGCCAAATGCAGCAAAGTTGATTGGACGGTGCTTCACAGTACAGATGGACAATGATCTAAAACACACTGCAAAAGCAACCCAGGAGCTTTGGAAGGAAAAGAAGTGGAATATTCTGCAATGGCTGAGTCAATCAGCTGAGCTCAACCCAATTGAGCATGCATTTCACTTGCAAAACTAAAGGCAGAAAGACCCACAAACACAAAACAACTGAAGATAGCTGCAGTTAGAGCCTGGCAAAGCATCAAAGGAGGAAACCCGGTCTTTTGTAATATCCATGGGTTCCAGACTTCAGGAGTCATTGCCAGTAAAGGATTCTCAACAAGATATTAAAAATGAACAATTTACTTATGATTATATATTCAATTGTCCAACTACTTTTGGTCCCTTGAAAAAAGGGGGATGGCTACTCTTATGAGCTGTAATTCCTAAACCCTTCCTCCAATTTGGATGTACATACTATCAAATTAAATCTGAGTGTGTGCACTTTCAGCCCATATCCATTATATAACTATGGCTTGAACATGTTTTGGTAAATACCTGAAAAAAACTAAAATTGTGCCTGTGTCCAAAAATATATATGGACCTAACTGTATACACACACAGTATATGTCAGCATTACACATTTACACTTTAAGGGAAATAATGCTTTCTTTTCAATACAAAAAACTGTCACAGAGCATTGTTAGGGCTCATTCACACTAGGTGACCAGCATTTCATCAGATTGGATAAACCCAGATCACTGCTAGGGCACACAGAATACAATTGTTTTATATGTGCCCGAATCACATAACAATGCTGGTGTGATATAGTGCATTTTTCTGCAGCGCATTGGATAACACCACATCACAACATGGCAGCACAATGCACAGTATTTCTGTGCATCGACATTAATGAAGTGTTACCATATGGAAAGAAAGAAAAAAAAAAAAAAACACACAAACTACACTGCAATAATGACAAAATGCACCACTCCTGTTCAGAGCTCGTAGCCCAAAATAAGCTGCTGCTCCCATTTTGGGCAACAATCTGCACGTTGCACCGAGTTTAGGAGCCACTGAAAATGAATGGCTCCTGAACAGGAGTGGTGCATTTTGTCATTATTGTAGTGCCAATTTGGACTGCAGCCAGAATTGTTGCGATTCTGTCTGAAATCACAAAAACACCAGATGTGAACAGAGCCAAATGCAGGCCATAGATGGGTCGAAAATCGGCCGATTTGTCGGCCGAAAATAAAATCGGCCGATTTTCGGATCGTTAGTGGGCGATTTGGTCGGCCGTTTTTCGGGATTTTGGTAAAGTTGGAAAAAAATCGGCCGATCGGCCGATTTTCGCGGCATTAATGGGCCAATCGGCCGATTTTTTACCGATAAAAAATCTGCGCATGAGCAGTGACCTGCAAGAGGAAGACAAAAAGAAGAAAAAGAAGAAGAGGAAGAGGATGAGGAAGAAGAAGAGGATGAGGATGAAGAAGAGGATGAGGATGAGGAAGAAGAAGAGGAAGAAGAAGAGGATGAGGATGAAGAAGAGGATGAAGAAGAAGAAGAGGATGATGAAGAAGAGGATGAAGAAGAGGATGAGGATGATGAAGAAGAGGATGAGGATGAAGAAGAGGATGAGGATGAGGATGATGAAGAGGATGAAGAAGAAGAAGAAGAGGATGAGGAAGAAGAGGATGAGGATGAGGATGAGGAAGAAGAAGAGGATGAGGATGATGAAGAAGAGGATGAGGATGATGAAGAAGAGGATGAGGATGATGAAGAAGAGGATGAGGATGATGAAGAAGAGGATGAGGATGAAGAAGAAGAGGATGAGGATGAAGAAGAATGAAGAAGGATGAGGATGAAGAGGATGAGGATGAAGAGGATGAGGATGAAGAGGATGAGGAAGAGGATGAAGAAGAGGATGAGGATGAAGAGGATGAAGAAGAGGATGAGGATGAAGAGGAAGAGGATGAAGAGGAAGAGGAAGAGGAGGAAGAAGAGGAAGAGGAGGAAGAGGAGGAAGAAGAGGAAGAGGAAGAGGATGAAGAGGAAGAAGAGGATGAAGAGGAAGAAGAGGATGAAGAGGAAGAGGATGAAGAGGAAGAGGATGAAGAGGATGAGGAAGAGGATGAAGAAGAGGATGAGGATGAAGAGGAAGAGGAAGAAGAAGAGGATGAGGATGAAGAAGAAGAAGAGGATGAGGATGAAGAAGAAGAATGAGGATGAAGAGGATGAGGATGAAGAAGAAGAAGGATGAGGATGAAGAAGAAGAAGAGGATGAGGATGATGAAGAAGAGGATGAGGATGAAGAAGAGGATGAGGAAGAAGAAGAAGATGAGGATGAGGAAGAAGAAGAGGGATGAGGAATGAAGAAGAGGATGAGGATGGATGAGGAGAAGAAGAAGAAGAGGATGAGGATGAAGAAGAGGATGAGGATGAAGAAGAAGAAGAAGAGGATGAGGATGAAGAAGAGGAAGAGGATGATGAAGAGGATGAGGATGAAGAAGAGGATGAGGATGATGAAGAGGATGAGGAAGAAGAGGATGAGGATGAAGAGGATGAGGATGAAGAAGAGGAGGAAGAGGATGAAGAAGAAGAGGATGAGGATGAAGAAGAAGAGGATGAGGATGAAGAAGAGGAAGAGGATGAAGAAGAAGAAGAAGAGGATGAGGATGAGGAAGAGGATGAAGAGGATGAAGAAGAGGATGAGGATGAAGAGGAAGAGGATGAAGAAGAGGATGAGGATGAAGAGGAAGAGGATGAAGAGGAAGAGGAAGAGGAGGAAGAAGAGGAGGATGAAGAGGAGGAGGATGAAGAGGAAGAGGAAGAGGAGGAAGAAGAGGAGGAAGAAGAGGAAGAGGAGGAAGAAGAGGAAGAGGAGGAAGAAGAGGAAGAAGAGGATGAAGAGGAAGAGGATGAAGAGGAAGAGGATGAAGAGGAAGAGGATGAAGAGGAAGAGGATGAAGAGGATGAAGAGGAAGAGGATGAAGAGGATGAAGAGGAAGAGGATGAAGAGGATGAAGAGGAAGAGGAAGAGGATGAAGAGGAAGAGGATGAAGAGGAAGAGGATGAAGAGGATGAAGAGGAAGAGGATGAAGAAGAGGAAGAAGAAGTAGGATGAAAATAAGAAGAATTCCAGTCCAGCAAAAAGTATCTCTGCAGAGAGCCCCGCTATTTCTGACAGTTCTCTGACAGTTCTTTGACATTTACAGCGGTTGAAACATTGTATCTATTTGTTTCCGAATAAAAAACATCTGTATCCTAAATGGAAACAAATAGATACAATGTTTCAACCGCTGTAAATGTGAAGGAACTGTCAGAACTGTCAGAAATAGCGGAGCTCTCTGCAGGGACACTTTTTGCCGGCTGTAGAAGGGATGAAAATCGGCCGATTTTTTTTACCATTGATGGTAACGTCGGCCGCTTGAACGACCGAATTTTCGTTTTTTTAAAAGAAAAATCTGCCGTTTTTCTCCCCATCTATGGCCTGCATAATTCTTTTTAAACGGGACATCTGTTTTTGGAGT